AACGTCTGCTTTTTCTTGATTAGAAATAGCCCATGAGCTGTCGTCTTTTTTGATAGGTGGATTCTGAGTTCGTGGTCTTTTGATACACCCGGTAACTTTCCATAGCGAGTAATCCGTATCTTGTTCAGCTGACAAATTTTGAAGCCGATTTGAGGTGGATTGATTTCTTATATCTTTTAGTAGTGCCTTTAAATTATTGCTTAGGAGGTTAAGTTTCTGTTTATCCGCTGGTGATCTAGACATTTGCCAAGTTTTGCGAGCTTTTCGTTTTTCTTTGATTAGTTTTTTAATCTCAATGGGATAGTTTATTTTGTTGGTGGTTAATTTATTTTTAAATGTGGTGTTGTTCCAGGCAGCGCTTTGAATTTTAGAGACAAATAAGTCGAGTTCCTCTTCCAGTTGGAATTCATTTTGTAGTGGAACCCGAAGGTTAATTGAATTATTTAGCTCGTTTTTGAACTCTGTCCAGTTAGTTGATTTATTTGTTAGCCTCGGTGGATCATCAACCAAAATAATCGTTTCACTTACAGTTAATATAATTGGCGAATGATCAGAATTTAGATCGTATTTGCCCTCTATACTAAGGTAATTTTCAGATACTCCTTTAACTATGAAGAAATCCACGATGTCAGGCAGTCTTTTCGGATCAGAAGGCCAATATGTTGGGCTTCCAGCAGAGAGAAAAGAACATTTCATTTCATTGCCCACCTCGAAGAGGGCCCTGCCCTTAGGTGTAGTCAGTCTGGAGCCCCAGAAGACATGCTTTGCATTGAAGTCTCCACCTATAACGAAGCTGTTGCCAAGCTCTTCAAACATCTGTTTATATTCTGTTTGTCTTAAATTATGTTTCGGGGGACAGTAAATGGCCGCAATTTTAATGTTTTTGTTTTTGGCTCTAACTATAACTGAAGCAATCTGCATGGATTCCTTTTCTATTGCAATAACTGGCTGATGCTCCAAGTTATCCTTAATCAGCACTAATGAACCCCCTTTGGCTTTGTTTTCGGGATGGGTAGCAGAATAAGACTCATATCCTCGTATTTTTAAATATGATTCGTCAGTGAAATGTGTTTCAGAAATTAGACCAATGTCTATTTCCTCGTTATGTAGGAAAACCTCTAGCTCATGGACATGATTAAGTAATCCGTTTGCATTCCATGCCGCTATTCTTAATGTATGGGTCATTTATTATAATGCATCATGTTAATTTTATTTTCTATTTTATCTAGCCGCTGGCATAAGCTTTTTTCTAATATTTCATGCTGCTGCAGTTTATTATATATTAATTCTAAAGTTATCTTCGCTGGAGTTTTTGACTTCAAATTTTCTTTGGCAACTTGAGCAAAAATTTTCGTTGTTCCATTGATGTGACTACCGCTGGACACCTCATTTATGTCGAATTTTTGTAGGTCTACGTGCTCCAAACGAAGAGTTTTCTGACTTTCTGGGTTATTGTTTTGTGATCTTTTTTTGATAGCAACAGCTCTATTTCTACGCTTTTGGAATTCCTTCGCTACTTCGCAGCCACGGTAATTCGCTGGGTGATTTCCACCGCAGTTAGCACACGTTGGAGGTAAGTTTCTACTGAGGGTGCAAGAAGCAGAGTCATGTTCTTTCCCACAGCTAACGCATCTAGGAGTCTTTTTGCAGTATTTTTGTGTGTGGTCGTAGGCCTGGCATCGTTTACATTGTGGAGTAGAATTTGTATTCTTCCTTATTGGTTCAATTCTCACAGTAATGCCCAGAATAGATCCGATTTTATATATCTTCTCTATACTCTCATTTTTGTTGAATGTTAACATAAACAAGGGAAACTTTTTAACATGGGTGACCTTTTCACCATTTTCTTTGGTTTGATTTTCTTTTTTGATAATGTTAACTGCATCTTCAATTCTGAAGTTTTGTCTAAGTAGCTCATCAATGATTTCCATACGATCACATGACCAGTGGAGTCCCCTAGCCATAACCCCTATTGGTCTATCATTTTTGTTCTCATATGTGAACCACTGATAACCAGTCTCTTCAAGCTTGTTGACCAAGGCTCTATAATCATTAGGGGCCTCAGCGTTAATTTTCCAGACTTCGTTGTTTAATGGCTTGATTTTATATTTATTTGTGGTGTTAACTAGCAGATTTTTTATTTTTTTATAGTCGTCAATTCCAACAATATTTATAGGCGGAGGTTTCCTTTCTCTAGATTTATAATCAAGAGCCGTATCCTGAGCCACTGAGTTAGTTTTGTCTTCAAGCCTTTTGCTATTTGTAGTCGTTGTGGGATCGTCACTCTTATTCTTCGAAGCTTCTACTTTTTTTGAGTTGTCAGGTTTTGGTAATTCGCTGCTGATTTCTGGAGAAGAGTTAGCCTTTCTCTTCTTATTCCTTCTTCTTGAATGAGCAACCCATTTTAGGTTGGAGTCAGTTTCAAATCCAGTGAGGTCTTCGTCACTTGAGCAGGAATCTTTATTTTTATTCTTATCACAGTTGTTTATACTCGCATTCAGCGCAGATTTTAAGTGTAGATTTTCAGCTTTTAAGATGTTGAGCTCCTCCAAAAGCTTCTTAGTAACAGCTTCGTTCTCAATCATTTTTCTTTCATTTTCAATAATTTTTTTGCGCAACTCTTCATATTCCTCCATACCGATAGTTATAGAGCCCAAGTTTGAAGGAGTACGCCCGGTTACTTTACTTCCGATAACAGAGTTTGAGCTGGTACCTGGTGAAATTGTACTCGTCGAGGTTGAAGTTAGCAATAGTTGGCCCCCCCCCAGAATCCGTGGGGCCGGCCTCCGTAGAGGGTGGATTCACCAATTTTTTTGGCTTACCACCTGGGGTAATCAATCCAGTTGTTTTATCCATTGCATAATTCTTTTGTCCGCCATTCTCGTTTGTTTGCTGACCAGAGTTACTCCACTCGGGTTGGAACCGAATCTTTGGCTCTAGTTGCTCAGCGTAGCAGGAGGGACCACTAGCAGGTGAGACTTGGCGTCGAGCAGTAGAGGCTAGGTTGATATAGCAGGAAACTACCAACTGTATTACGCATGCTGCCCATTCCCCCCCATCTTAATTCTAAACGGAAAGAATTTTAAAGTACCTGAACCAAAATTTTAAAATACCTGTTATTTTACAGTCGGAATTTTTGTGTCGGAAATATGTGATTATTTTTTTCAAACATTTCAAATATTTTTTTTCTTAGGTAATTGATATAAATGATAGTAAGTTTTTAATATTTTTTCAAATAAAAATAGAGGTAAAATTTTGAAGTTTATATAAAATTTGTATTTAACAAATAATATTTGATTGTATTTTAAATATTATTTTCTAATTCCCTCTTCAAATTTTTTCTTTACTATGTATTTATATCAATATTCAATAAATATCTTTCATTATTTATATTTTCAACTTGACACTACAGTTACTTCCCATATCTTGAGTTAGCTTACCCTATTAGAAAAAAAAGCTGTTCACTTAAAAATAATAAAATGCTTTCAGTAACATATAAAACGTTGAAGGCGAAGGATGTGCTTGTTGTTTTTCCGCTTTTTTTTTAAATTTTAAAATAATTATCAATGAAAATATTAATATATTTTTTTGATTTTTCAAATATAATTTCTAAATTTTACCTGCTTTATAATAAGTGTGAATTCATTTTAATATTTCTTCTCAAAAAATAGCCACTTCGATTTAAAAAAACCCATATCAAATAAGGTCGTGCTTTCAAGTTTCTCTCTGAGCATTGGGACTTGTTAGATATAAAGACATTACTGTTATGTTAAAATCAATATAACTTGTCAAAAAATTATATATGCTTGTATTCATTTTTGGTGAAAAGAAAACCTATTCATGAGACAAAGCTTATTATTTTTCAAAAGAAATAACTAAGATATAATTGAATTCTATCTCGTGAAGAAACCCATATATATTTAATAAATCATGAATATTATGCAAAAGTTTTGAATTTAACGGCATGAAAGCAATATACTGTTGCCACAACATAGCACATTTCGCAGTTACACGCTACAAACATTAGCAACAAATAACGAGTAAACAAATGATTTTGACATTTCATAAGTATATTTATATATTGTCTTGTCGCTTGCACTTGCAGTTTTACTTTGTTTTATGTGCTCTGGGGTGATGTGAAAATATGAACAAAAAAAGTTCAGAATGAGTTAAAAGTAAAAAAAATTGTTTAAGATTTAATTAAGAAATAATTTTAAATTTATGAAATATAAAATTGCAAATGTACAATTAATTAAAAATAACGCAACAAAGTATAATTTTAAAAAGGAGGGTAAACTAAGCAAAACTATTGAAAAATTTAACAAAGAGTAGGTTTAATATACAATAATTATAATATTAGCAGATATGTAGTTGCATGTACATATGTACATACATAAGTTTATAAAATTGAACATTTTCTTAGTAATTTTGGTAATTTCACAATATTTGTGAAATTTCAAAAAATATTGTGTATCTATTTTTAATTTTTTTTTGTGCTTAGAAATTTGGCAAATAGCAAGAAAGCAAATTGTTTGTAAATAGATTTCACTTTTAAGAAGTATGTTTTTGAAAAAAAGAAAACAAAAATAAAAATTACGTCAGTAAACAAATTGAATTATAAAAGTTAAAGTAAGGTCAGACTTTGTGCAATAAATAAATTAATACCAACAAAAGGCATGTAAATAAGAACACCTATTGAGATACATACTTACATATTTGTGTAATTAATACAAAAATACAAAATATAATAGAATACAAAAGATGCAAAATATAATTGTTTTGCGACAAAATAAAAAAAGTCTGGCAGGTTTGGTATATAGGCTTTCAATTATATTAAAATTAAAGATAAGTATGCCAAATAAGCAAAGTTCTACTTTGATATGTGACTTAATAAAAATTCGATTTTTAATTTGCTCTTAAATACTAGTGATGTAGGTAAGATTTAGCAATCGTTTATATGTATATACGAATGAATCGCTAAAGTTAACAAAATACGTAAGCCAATTTTTTAAAAATGTCCTACTGTTGAATCAAACATATTGGAAGAAAATGTTTACTTTAATTTTACAAATTTAAATAGCAATTAATATAAAAATATTCCAAAATATATACATAAATATTGTACAAGTAGTTCGCAGATACTTTCATATAAAATTTTATAAAATTACGCTGGAGGGAATTGAACTGTTTATCAAGGTTGCTTAATGTAAGTGTACATATGTATGTACATGATTGTTTGGAAAGATATTTAAATAAAAGCAATGAACTAGATTAAAAGAAAATGATTAGGTATTGTGAAAAAGAATGTTAGGATGGATTCATACATTATGATTATGGTTTTGTTCCTACACGTCTTGACACCTTTCTATAAAAGTACCAAAAACGTTCTTTTTATTATTTTAAAAAGTAAAAGTTTTTTTTAACAATTTAAAAGCAAAAACATTACAATTTGACTTGTGCAAAAATTTTATTTTACTTAGGCACTTAGTAGGTAGGTAAGTAGATTTATAAAATCTTTTATTGAATATTTTTTTGAAAAATACACATGGATAAACCATGAAAACGGATAATTGTATTTAACTTATATTTACATATTTCTGCTTTAAGCCAAGTTTGTTTTTAACGTGGCAATTGAATGTTTTTTTTATTAAAAACAACTGCTACGGAAAAGTTAATAAGTATTGAATTTATTGTTGTATTCAAAAACCAGAATAAATCGATAAGCTTTTATTTAGTTTTTTTTAACATATAGTATGTGCAAATTCATGCATGTAAGTTGCTTGGAAAGGGCTCCTACCATAATTTGTTCACGAAACATTAACTACTATTTATTACGAAATAGCTACTCTTAATGCTGTAATTTTTTACATGTAAAGTATAATAAAAAATAAAATTCCCTATAAAAGTCAAATGGTTTTTTGTGTTTCGAAGAAATTTAAATACAAAAATAAAATAAAAAATTCTTTTTTTATTATTAAATTTCTTAATTATTTTTATTGAGCATTGTAATAAATTAAAAATTATCACCATGCGGTTAGAAACAAATTACATAACCATTATTAAATCATTGGTAATATTATGTAATGTTAGCTATGTTATTAGTAAAATAGTAAAACCAAATAAAGCTATGATTCATCATGAAAATATCAAAATCAGAAAAAAGAAACATCAGTAGGCTAATACAAAAGTAGGTGAAAGAGAATCAAAAGTTTTCCGTAATAAATATGTACATATTATGTATGTATTAAAATTAAAAAAACAAAATACTTAATCGAAGAAAATTTAAAAGCAAATTTTCGCTACTTGATAATTCATCTGAAGAAATTGGGCAAAACGGGGAGTTAGTTCTGCCTAATGCAAAGGAAGACTGAGATGCTGAGGTGTAGATAAGTATTTTCCACAAACCTATAAGGTTTAGAGACCAGAATAAATTTTCTAAAGATGTTGTATATATGCCCAGACCTGTTAAACTTCGATCTACAGCATTTAGTATAATATGTTGGGTATATTGCATTAGTTTGCTGTCGAAACCAAATAATTTAATCAAAAGTGAAAAGGGTAAGCTGTTTTGTATTAAAACAGTTACAAGTTTAAAGTAGATTATATTACAGAGAAGTAATATTTTTTATAAAGTCATTGCATTCACACAAAATAGATAGAACTACATATAAATATTGTTTCCATTCTAATTCTGTTAATTGCATTAAATGTTATTTAGTAAATTATAATATTTTTTGTGAAATAAAATATTTTATATAAAATACTCAATATTAAACATACATAAAAAATATTTATGTTCATGTACATATTTAAATTTTTAATTTTGAATTTGTATTTATATAAATATATAAACACACATTCATACAAATCTTTTGGAACAAAATAATAATCTATCTGATATTGTTTTAGATAAATAATGGACTTTCTAAGTTTGTTTGATCCAACTCAATCGGATAATTTTTTGGATAATCAATGTTTGAAATTAGATAACAATAAGAACAGAAAAAATCATCGAAATGAAAAATCAAAAAATAAGTATAATGAAGGTCAACATATTAGAACAAATCATGATCGAACAATTTCAACAAGTAGCTCCAGTGAAAGTGAATCGGATTATAAAAATAACAATAAAATCATTATAGATTTCGATCAAGGTATTTTACCTCCGGAACCACAACTTGGAAATATTGAATATAAATTAAAATTAATAAATCCTTCAAAACAACGGTTTGAACATTTGGTTACACAAATGAAGTGGCGTCTACGTGAAGGTCATGGTGAAGCAATATATGAAATTGGAGTCTCTGATTTGGGACATATGCACGGCCTTAATGATAAAGATATGAATGCATCGTTGAACACTCTTAAACAAATGGCACATAATTTAGGTGCCTCAACTAGTGTTTTAAGACGAAAATCAGTTGGTGGAAAACGTTCTGTAACTGAGGTTTTGGTGCGTAAAATACCAGATGATCAACATAATATAGAAGTTAGGGTAGCAGTTTTAGGTGGAGCAGATGCTGGAAAATCTACTCTATTAGGTGTTTTAACTCAAGGAGAATTTGACAACGGCAGAGGTCGTGCTCGGCTAAATATGTTCCGTCATATGCATGAAATTCAATCTGGTAGAACATCTTGTATATCGCACGAAACATTAGGTTTTGATTCTGCGGGCAATATTATTAATTATAAATATAATGAAATGATGACAGCTGAAGAAATTAGCGATAAATCAACAAAATTAGTTACATTTATGGATTTAGCTGGTCATCGTCGCTATATGAAAACAACGGTACAAGCTTTGTCAGGTTATTCACCACATCATGCAATGCTAGTTGTTTCAGCTGGTAGTGGCTTTAATGGAACTAGTAAGGAACATTTATCTATTGCAAGAGCACTCGACATGCCCTTTTTTATAGTTGTGACTAAAACTGATATAACTTCACCTGAAAGTACTGTAAACGAATTAAAAAACATCCTTACTTCTGTGGGTTGTAGAAAGGTGCCCTTTGTTGTAAATAATGAGGATGATGTATTGACGGCGGGCTCGAATTTAACAGCGGAAAACATTGTACCTATATTTTGCGTATCAAATGTTACTGGATCTGGATTAGATTTGGTTACCAGGTTTTTGTACGTTCTTTCACCGGGAATAAGTAATTCAGAAAAAGAGCGGTTAGAACAGGAACCTTGTGAATTTCATATTGATGAAATATTTAGAGTATCTGAAGTTGGTTCCGTGGTTGGGGGTCTACTAACAAAAGGTGTTTTAACAGAAAATATGCAAATGAAAATAGGTCCATTAGCAGATGGACATTTTTTTCCGGTTACAGTAAGCGTATAAAACCTTTTTAATTTACGAAACTAATTACGTTATAAAAATTTTAGGTTCACTCTATTCATAGAAATAAAGCTCCTTGCAGAGTTGTTCGAGCAGGTCAAAGTGCATCCTTATCTTTTCTTCCTAACGAAAACCTTTCAATGTTACGCAGTGGAATGATCCTTTTAGCGGACAACATAAACGAGGAAGATCCTTCAGGAATATATTTTTTTCAGGTATTAAAAAATATTGATGTATGTTGTAGCTTTATTCAAAATATTCTATTATTTAGGCAAAAGTTTCCGTTCTGTATCATGCCACTGCAATATGCGTTGGATTTCAAACGACTGTCCATATTGGTAGTATCAGGCAAACTGCCGTTATCCGTGGTATAATGGGTAAAGAAAGCTTAGGAACAAATGATAGTGCATCAGTGATTTTCCAATTTGTTTGCCACCCAGAATACGTTCGACCTGGAATGAGAATTCTTTTCCGAGAAGGAAGAAATAAAGGAATAGGGCATGTAACACATGTTTTTCAACTTTAAATTTAAATATTGATTTTTATCTGCTTATAATAACAGAAAAAACATTTTAGGAACAATTTTACTTTTTTAGCACGCTTTTGTGTTCTGAGATTAATAAACTAAAGACAAACAATAGAACTAAACAAAAATATTAAGAAAAATAATTTGTTTTCAAAATTATAAATTAATTAATTATAATTGGAACAGATAAATTAAATTCTTTTTTGTTCAGGAATTTGACTTAAAATTTTAGAAGCATTACAAATTTATTGCTAGATTGAAGGTTTTAGCTTATAGTTTTTAACTTATTGTTCAATATTTTCCCAATACTGGTATTTCCATAAGTTTCTTAGATTTCATTTAGAACTAAATATATATGTTTCCCCGTACTACATTAATATAAAGAGTTTAAATTATTGGACAAAGTTTATTTACATATATAGTTGAAATTAGATAGTTTTTAGTAAATAGAATTTATTTTTGATGACGGGGATCTCACAATACAAAGAAGATATATGTAAAATATTTTTGTTTTCATTTTAATATCATAAATTTAAGTTTGTGTTTTTAAGAGAGTTCTGTATCATATTTAATAAAAAGCAAACATATATATATATTTCGAGAAAAAGTAATAATTTCGGTTTTAAAAACGAAAATGATTTTCTATCAATCTTTTGTGTTAAGTTTTATAAAACCAATATGAATTTTCAAAATTTAAAATCTGTGATTAGATTTAAGAAATTTGGTAACTTAAAAACGTTGTATATTAAAACATATTTTTTCTAGTCGAAAAATGAAATTTTTTTATTTTCACAAAAGAAACTAATTCGTACTTAAAATAAGTACATAATATATCGTAAATAAATATGTATATTTTTTTTAAAGAAAAAGTATTAGTTTATATTTTAATTTCTTTCTACAGCAGTAGAAATTATGTATGTACATATAAGTAAAGGAAAATGAAAATGTAACAAAAATTTTATTCAATTAAAAACTATTAAAACTAAATATTTTGCTGTTATCTTTTCTCGTTATTCTTATCCGTTATGTTTTCAGTTTTAGATACAGGAACCAAGGTTGTGTCAATTTTAGAATGAAACCTAAACAAAATTGGTATTTGACCCAAAACTGGATTACCATTTTTTTCTAACAACCTAATCCAAGACAACAAGGAATCTTTGGTAGAAGTTCCTGTCGCACATATGCCAAATATCGTTCCTTCTTCTTGCTGGTGGACTGATCTTTTTAAGGTAGATATCTGTCTACTTTTATTTATGGGTGGTAAGCCGAAAAAAGGTATATTTATATCTTGAATATCTTAAAAATTAAACAATATTAATAAAAATATAATTTAAATATGGAACTAGTACTACCATCTGGGTTCTTCTCATTTTCAATTGTTTCAAGTTTTTTGAAAAACTCTTCATCTGGATCCCCTCTTAAAGTAAAATAATTAACACGTTTATTTCTTAACCATATGAGAAAGGGACCTTCTATATAAAGTGGCTTTTGTTTATCATGGCTTTTCAGTAATTCTGATTGGTCCTTGCTAATACCACTTACAATCCAAGTGTCATCCACTGCCTCCGGGATATCCCCGCTATTGTATATCTCGACTTTTGATAATAAATCAACAGAACACATTCGTTCAACAGCTAATATAGCTAACTCTAAAGCTTCATTTGGTACTGGATTTGGTAAAGGCCATGGAGATAAGTTTTTAAATTTTGGCATCCAATACATCATTCTCCAATACTTTCGAAGGGGATGACCTCTTCGCCCAAAAATATTTAGTAGCATGGCTTCCATCTCATAATCAGGAATCACCCCACAATCCTCCATTTGTTCGAGCTGCAAAAATTTAATGAAAAAAATTTTAAATCATGTTTCAATCATTTTTTGATTAAGGTACCAAATCTATTATACATTGCTGTTGTTTTGGGTAGTGCATAAATTCAGCTTGAAATATATTAGTAGGTATAAATTTACCCTTAGGCATTACATTGATTAGGGCTTTATACACTTCAATATCTGTGTGAACACCAAAAGATTCCATGTTTTTTAAAGCTGTATAAATAAACTCCACATGACTTCTTCGACTGATGCTTTTGTTTTCAAATATTTTTACCATATCCAAGAAAGTATCTTTGGACTTATCAGAAATACTCTCAAAACCCTCTCGCAGAGTTGGTAAATTTTTCAGTTCTTTATTTCCATTTCTTTTTGTTTCAGCTTGTTCACTGAATTTATTAGAACTTAAGTACTTGCTAAAAACTTTCGTGTCATACAAACTTATTAATGGAGATTTGAATAATTGAAAAACATTGCGGTATTTAAGCATTATTGAGTACAAAGTGTGAAAGCATTTGTTTCGTAGCACTTGATTTAAAGAATTGTGTAAGTAAAAATGTATTATGTCAAACAAATCAATTGAAATAAATTTCAAACATAAGAGTAAAAATTTGTAAACAAGCTCAGCTGTTTATAATATCCAATAAGACTTTCGCTATCAAAATAAATGTTGATAGCTGTGTTTACATTATAATTAAAATAATGGTTAATATGCCGGTTTACACACCCACTTTTGCATCAATTGTTGGCATACGTTTCATTACACTTCCCTCGCCAACAATTTTTTTAGGCAAGGATAGTAACGCGTGTGGACATTTTGATGACTTTATTCGACCATTTTACCCAGAATAGTAACAATTGCATTCTCTTTATTGATTTTCAGAACCGCAATCGAGTTGCAACTGCCAATTAGATCGTCTCAACCAAGAAAGTTTCAATTTTATATATCTAATTATTTTAAACTAATTTTATTGCATCAACTTCAAATTTATGAAAAAACTTAAAATATACATTGAAAAAAGCTAAATCAAAAATTTTGGTTTTGAATATCCATTAGAGATTTACTGCTTTGTAACTGAGACTCACAATTGACGTCTCCCAAAATGCTAACTTTTTGACGTCAACTTTACATTCTACTTTCTGCTAACAACTTCGGTAAACAAAATTATTTTCTATAGCTAGAATTCACTTTTGTTCTACGTTTTGGTAAACAGCAAAACATGTCAACATTTCAAAAAAATTAGCAAAACACCTCAAATAATATGCGCTTTTTAATTTTCGGCCAAATTTTGTTATTTCAAACTGAATGCATACTAAAAATTTATCAGGACCTTGTACTTTTAAATTCTTTGGGCGTTTTTACTTCCTATTCTTATCCCTTGACATACCCTTTCAACCATATATTCGATACTTTTTGGACCTAAAAGCTTAACATATTGTTGAACGAAGAATCACAAAATTTTCAGTTGTCTGTTTTGTTAATTCACTAATCCATACAAACCACCAGAATATTTGTTGTGAGAAATAAATTTTATTTCCAAACCTTGATATCGCAAAAATATCAGATATGTTTCTGTCAACCATGTTTGAAAACAATTCCAAATGAATAAATAAACGCATGTGAATAAAATTTCTGTTTTTGTTTAATTCACTAGTGTACTATCTACCAGTAAGCTTGCAATTAATAAACATAATGTAAGTTATAAAATGATATTTTAAACACTCATATCGACTATTATCAAATATATGAACAATATTATATCAGCCATGGATGAACATTTAAACATAAGTTTACGTCAAATCTTAAGTAAAAAAAAATATTTTAATTTTCAGGCCTGTGATCAAATATAAGTGATTGTTATTCACTATTGAATGATTGAAGCGATGAAAGTAATGTCATGTGATATTAAAGTGAAAGATTCTCCAATTATCAAATGTTTATTTGATTTTTTGTAAGAGTTTTGGGGAATTTGTTTTTAATTATAAATTTTAAAATTGATAATTATATTCCAATATGGATGATGTTAAGGACGTAACATTTATTGTAAAGTGGAGTGGAAAAGAATTTCCAATAAGTATGAATTCAATAAAGCAGGAAAAAATCATTGTGCTTAAATATTTTTGAACTATGTAATTACAGGCGATTTGGTTGAACAAGATACCGTAGCTATTTTGAAACATGAAATTTATAAAAAAACACAAGTCCGTCCTGAAAGGCAGAAGCTTCTAAATTTAAAATATAAAAGTAAGAACGAATGAATGAATAATTTATTAGAAAGCTAATAGCAAAATGGTTGTTCTTTTAGATAAATTGGCTGCAGATGACGTACGTCTTAACCAATTAGACTTAAAACCTAATTTTAAAATAATGATGATGGGTTCAACAGAGCAGGATATAGAAAATGCCTGTAGTAAACCAGACGGTTCTGAAGACGTTGTGGATGATTTTGAGGACAATGAAGAAAAAGATATGCCAACAATAGAAAACTCGTGCATATATTTGAACAAAGTGCAAAAACGTATAAAGGACTACGTTATCAAGGAAATTACTCCCCCAAGAAAAAATAGACATTTGCTTGTTCTTGATATAGATTACACTTTATTTGATCATCGATCTACAGCTGAAACCGGAGCTGAATTAATGCGTCCATATTTACACGAATTTTTAACTTCGGCTTATGCGTATTATGATATTGTTATTTGGTCAGCAACCGGTATGAAGTGGATTGAAGAAAAAATGAAGCTTTTGGGCGTAAGTGCCAATCCAGATTATAAAATTTTGTTCTATTTAGATTCAAACGCAATGATAAGCATTTATACAACAGACCGTGGTGTAATTGATGTAAAACCTTTGGGAGTAATTTGGGGAAAATATCCAGATTATTATAATTCAAAAAATACAATAATGCTTGATGATATCCGAAGAAATTTTTTGATGAACCCTAAATCAGGTTTAAGAATACGGCCTTATCGTCAAGCCCACTTAAATCGTGATAAAGACTCCGAGCTTCTGAAATTGAAAAAATATTTGTTGGATATAGCAGAAAATTGTGATGATTTTAATACGCTGAACCATAGAAATTGGGAAAATTACGATCCAGGAAGATTATAGTGATATAATTAAAGATTGATGCAGGTACCTCTAATATCAAGCAATTCGCCTCTGTTAATGTATAATTAAAATTATTTGTTTGATAACATAGGAAAATATTTGAATCAAATATGTAAATAACATGTACTTAAAGCTTGAATTTACTCCATAATATCATTTTATTTTTGTATTATTTTCTGAAATTTTTGCTTTATTGAAACATCAAAGAATGCTTTAAAAAATAAACACTCATTAGCATTTAAAAAAATATGCTTAATATTTTTATTTTTTTTGTTTTCGAATAAATAGAGAAACATTATAGGAATGTGAAATAAGTGCCCCTAACTGAACATTTTTCTTACAACATTCTTATAGTTATGATCGTTAGTTTTCCAATCATTTAAAATCTTCGTATGCAAATTGACTAATTCTGCGTTTTTCCTAAATGTTTTCGATTTCTCTATAACTTCCTTAGCTTTTTTAAATTCTTTTAAGTTATGTAGAGCCAAAGCTCTTCTATAAATGGCTTTATCTATATTCTCCGAATTTTCTTCCACAAAACTCGTCAAAAATACGACCTCTTCATATCGCTGCTCTTTTATAAGACATGCTGAAATATTTAATTTTAAATTCTGTAGTAATTTTTTTAATAACTCAGCTTCAACACCATCATTTTCTTCCGATAAATCATCAAAAGGTCCATAAGACAGCAGAATCTTGGCAGCACGACAAAAATATTCTTGAGCAAATTTTGGATACTTTTTAAACATTAAAACCCCATTTTCCTTATATTTTTTTGATAACTCGTAAGCGTCTTTCAAATTAAGTTCAAAAATATATCCTTTGAAATCAATTTTAATAAGTTTTATTATGAAGGTAATCTCCTCTCCGGCTTTAGTTTTGATGTAACATCGGCTTGTTTCGTTTTGAAACATTTGTTGCAAGATTATTTCTACATAATAATCTAGAGCGGTAACAGCAGAACCCAATTCAATCCAAAATTCTGTTTTTAATTTAGCGGACAAATAATTGGATTCCCTGTTATTTAAATTTTTTATATCATCGATTATAACTAGACATCTGGATATTTCTGTTGGTTTTGTCATAGACTGGTAGTTGAAACTTACTACTTCTTTTTTTATTCCTTTTTTGGGACATTCATATGATTTAGCATTTTTGTTAAAATCGTATTTAGCTTCCCATTTTGAATTCATCTTTTCTTTTTAAAACTAAAAAATATACATATGATTGTCAATAATAACAATTTTTCTTCTTTTAATAATACAGTACAACCAGATTATAAAGATGACACGTACATATCTAGAGCTATTTAGTTTTCCAAACATACAGGCACGCATATCTTCGTAAGTGAATATTTATATGGAAAATGTAATTTTGAAATATCTTTACACAAAGGGTAACAAAGATTTTTTCTTTTATAGCAAATACAAATAATGTAAACGCGAAGTAAGCTTCTTTAAAATTAAGAACTTTACAATAGCTGAGATAATCATACGTACACATAAATATACCATCCCTAATACAAGCACCATTTACAGAGGAACTATTACATTAGGAAAAAACAAAGGAAAACGAATTTATACAATATTAATTGGTGTTATCAACACTATAGATATTGTTAACGATTTTATTCTATTTTTTTACAGTTATGTAAATCATGTCACAATAAAGTAATAAAGCTGGATTCATTGGTTCGTCAGTTAAACGACGAGCTGATGTATTTTACATGAAAATTTGGATTTTTGACATTCTTTTTATTTTTAGTACAGCTTTTTTCCTTTCTCTCAAAAAGTTGAATCAACTTCAACTTTAATGTGGGGTGTTTTTAAAACGTCAAATTTATATATACTGAACTATAGCAGTTACATATAATTCTTGTCAAAAAAGTAGTAAATGCATTATAACAAAAAAAAATCAGCTGTTTTCAGACGAACCAAGACTCAAGAGAAAAAATGATTCGACTTTAAATAGTTCAGCTCAAAAACGACGAATCCAGCTTAAGAGAGAAAAGAGTTTTCCTGCGTGGGAAAAGAGCAATTATATTTTTATGTGAACGATAAAACTTCGGTTCTATAAAATAATAGTTTCTTTTTCTTTCTATTTGCGAGGTAGTAATACAAGTAGATAATTGTTTAGTTCATATTAGTGGGGTTCGATAGTAACTCCTCATTTTGTATTAACATTGAAACTTTGCGCTATACGCATTTTTGACATTTTATACATGTTTCTTATTTTAAGCTTTTGACATTTTGTACATGTTTTTTATTTTTAGTTTTGTATAAGAATTTAATTTTGGCAATTAAAATTTATAAATTTATTGATAAAAACAGCTGTTTATTACACAATGCTTGATAAAAACTATGCTTTACAAATCTAAATGTAAATTCCACTTTTAAACTTTAATTTATTTTGTTATGAAAAATTATTATAAATCTTATTGTGGAGGGGTAAATGAATAAATTTTTTATTGTGAATGGTACTTTCCTTTACTGTCAAAACAGACAGTCGATTATTTTAACCCAAATTGCATCGATTGTAAAACCGGAATAGTAAATTTTTTAATAAAAGTAGTATTTCTTAAAACAATTAAAAATATTTTACTCAAATAATAATACAAACTATATTTTAAATATTACAATTTTCATTTAATTGATTTAGGAATTGGAAAAATATAAAAAGTTTTAATCATTAAAATATGCACAAAATTACATATAGGCATAGCAAATAGTTTCGTATTCAATGTCTATCGTTTTTAATTGTAGCAAATTTTTTGCCCTTTAGTTTTGGTGATTACTGATATAAATTTAGTTTTTTGGCAATGCAATCCAATTATTAATTAACAGGGATTACCCTTAAATTTTTAAATAGGTAACAAAAAAAAATGTTATGTATGCATGAAAGTAAGAAAATAACAAATGAATTGGAGCTTGCTATTTTTTTTATAAAGAGTTAAATATATTCTGAAGTAATTTAAAAAGTGCGTCAGATTTTGTCTTTCAAAAACTTAGATGCATGTAGTATTTTTCATCGATTAACTTGTTAAAATTTTAACAAACATTTGAACATGACATTGCTGAACATGATAATGTCTCTAATCAATAAACACCTTTTTAAAACAAAGTTTTTTTTAAACACATTTAATGTTACTAAAAAAAAGTGAAAGAAGTTAAATTTCAGTAAAAACTATTTATTGTCTTATAATTACTTTAAAGCAAATACAATTTAGCATATTTTCAAGTTCTGCTAAAAAGTTATTGCAATTTTAATATAATTAGACAAAAGAAGTTACCAAATGCGAGAAATCAATAACTATTTTTATAGCAGTCATTTTACAAATTGCAACGTCGCTCCATTTTAAGTTTCATAAAATTGTGAATAAGAAAATGAAAAGAGAACCAAAAAAGAAAAAACAATTTAAATAACTCATTGGTGCTTGCACTGAAGATTTTTAAACATTTCTACTTGTGTAATTTATATTAATGAACTATGAAATACATTACATAGAATTGGTTTTTTCTACTTTTATTTTCTTACTTCAATACTTTTAATATATTGTTAACGTAAGTTCTAATTATTTAAGATACATATAAAATTCTCTGTTTTAATAGAAATCAAAGAGATATTGTGAATGGTGGATTTTTTCTGGGAGATAATTTATTGACGTTTATTATTGTGAATAATATTGAATTTAGCCGAGCCCTCAACGTCTGGTTGAGAAAATTAAAAGAAAAACACGGTAGAAGAAAATGGAAAGATTTGTCAAAATTAATAAACAAGTTAAAAATAATTTATATAAAATATGTCGATTGTGCGGAATTGATAATCCTAACAAGGTTGGAATATTGGAAGAAGTCGTGTTTTTAAGCGATGATGGGGAAATTGAGCCCCCATTGTACAAAAAAATATTTAATTGTGTTGGGATTCAGGTAATATCAGAAATAACTTTAATCAGAAAATTTACATATGTATAATTCTGTATTAAATTCGCTTTTTCTTAATATTGTAAAAAATCAAAACATAGAAAATATAAAATATTTTAGAAGTTTGAAGAGTTCAACAATTCAAACTTGTTAAAAAAAAAAATTATGTGCTTTTTACAATATTGGAATAATTTTTACAAATTAGACAAGATAACTAAATTAAAGCTCGTTTTTAATGTTAGGTAACTCCAAATGATCAAATGCCAAAAACAATTTGTGCCCTTTGTTTTGATAAAATTAACGATTTTCATGAATTTCGAGAAATGTGCTATGTCACAAACGTGCAAACGAGAAAACTTTTAGGATTATCAGAGCAGCCTAAAGTAAGTATAGAAATATCAAATTCAAAATCATAAACAAAAAATACAAATTCATATTTTTTTGTAGTTGGAACTTAAATGGGAACAAGGTGAAACAGTTGTTAATTCTGCAATTCCTAAAAAAGATAGTTTAGAAAATAAAAAGGCTAAAACAGAAAAAAAAGCAAAAAAGAGAAAAAATGCGGAGCCGCCTCCCTTTCTCAATGAGCCAAAACAAGTTAAATTAGAAAACGAGGACCCCTTTAATTCGGAAGTGTAAGTTTTGACAATCATTCTTCAAAATGAAAATCCTGTTGTAATACGTAAAATTTTTGAATATTTTAGGAAAATTGAAGATGATATTTTATCTAATAAAGCAAGTAAAAAATTTAAAGCAAAATTAGATAAGGCTGCAAAAACTGAAGTTAACAAAATTCCCATACCCAAACCTAAAATTGAAAAAAAAAATAAATTGGAAAATACTTTGAAGTTGAAGCAAGACAAATTAAAAGCTGATAAAACACTCAAAAACATTAAACAGGAACCTAGAATGATTATCTGTCAAATTTGTCAAATGACGTTTGCTTCTGCAGCTCTTTTGCAAAGCCATTTGTTAAAGTTACATGTTCCTTCAATAGATCGTTACTTTTGTGTAAGGTGCAACGAGAAAATAGAGGAAACAAATGAAATTAAAAGTCATAATTTATGGCACAAGTTATCAAAAACGCCTTATCAATGTGGTAGATGCGATAAAGAAATAAATTCTTTACAAGGTCTAACTAGGTAACATTGACAATTATACTCGCATAATATTAAATAACTTGAATACTTTACTATTATAAATTATTTTAGACATATTCGTGAATGCCATTTAGTTCCACGTGGGGTGCAAATAAATATTTTACCGAATGTTATATGTAAATTATGTTCAGTAGAGTTTCAAACAAAAAATCTTTTTTTTATGCATGGTTGCATAACTAGTTCTTTGCAATGTCCTAAATGCAAATGTAAATTATCTAATCAGTCAAACACATTAAAACACATAGCAACATGTAATGCGAAAATTCGTAATGAAGAAGAAATGAATTATGTTATAAAAGATGAACCGCTCGATATATGTCCTTTGCTTCCGCCACCTTTACCATTAGCAGATTCTCCAGTTCCTCTAGCAATTTTGCCGTCACCTTCCATATCTAAATCAAAAGCTTCTAAAAATTCGATCCAACAAACAGGACAAATTACTGCGGCACCAATATTTAAAGAAAACCGAAATTCTAGGATAAGTCACACTATGGTTGTAATACCCTCTTCAACTGCAGTACAAACATCTAATTCAGAAGTAAAAGATTCTCAGACAATGTCAACAGTTATGTGTACAGATTCAAATTTACTTAAACCAAATGGAAAAAAACAGAAAGAAGAGGCAATGATGGCTCGGTGTTCAGTTTTATTACAAGATACTTTTAGAACTTTAGTAAATATAAAACAGGAACCTATGGAAGCACAAAATATACAAACTCCCCAAGAAAGGCAACACTCTGAGGCAATTGACTGTGAAATTCAAATTGGAAATTTCCCAACACCACACATAAAACAAGAAGTTTTAGATGAAAATTATAAAGAAGTGGAATCAAATGTTGAAATAAATATAAAACAAGAAATTATTACGTATCCTACAATTTCACAACCCCCACTACCGGCTCTAAAACTAAAGATTAAAAAGGAACATGGAACATTAAATTCATCATTTATTGCTAACATGGGAAATGATAGTTCAATTTTAGAATCTCAGAAAAAGAAAAAAATTAAAACTTCCAAAAAGAAAAATAAGGAGACTGAAAAATTAACTTCTGAAGATGAAATGAAATCTCCTTCAAATGAAGAACATGAATCGTTGAGCAATTCTGAAAAAACCTCCCCAACAAAGGATAAAGAGAAATTTGATTTCCCTCAACCTGTAGTCATAAAATCAGAACAAATAGATCCAGAATTCGTAGACAATGAGGTTTTTAATGGTTCAGATGATTTCCATAATTTCGATGATTATAATAGTGAAGAAGAAACAGAGCTTTCAATTGAAAGTACCAATAATGGTTTACCTATTATCGCAGATGTACAATCAGTTTCAGATTCTTTACAGGTCTCCCAACAAAGTTCATCTGCGTTACTACAAATCAGTTCTATTTCTAGTGGAACTGAAGCTCTTGACAAAATTCAAGTAAAAGAGACTAGTAATAATCAATTTAACACAGAGTCTGAAGCTTTTGGTCAAATTCAAATAAATAGGGAAAGTGAAAATCTTAACCAAGTGAAAATCCAAGAAAGTATAAATTCTACTGTTCAAGAAAAGGATAACTCCATTTCGTTAATGCCACAGATAGTAGCCGTATCTAGCGGAATCAAACTGCCTTCGAAAAATACTTTAGAAATAAATATCGAAGATAAGTTAACACAAGAGAATATTGCGAAACCTCTTAACACCGATATACCCATGCTTCAGATATCTGAAGTTTCCTCCGGCGTAAATTTGGACAAAAATTCACAGGAAAATGATATTGGTTACGCTAATGTTGTTATCAAAGAAGAGCCTGATTTCGGGGACTATCTTGAGCAAGCTCAAGAAATACTATCAAACAATGGAAAAATTGAAGAAAGTGATGAATTGAATGACAATAATGAAGGTACAGTTGAAGAGAGTTCCGATGAATTTGAAGATGATAGTAATGAGTATGAAGAAAACGAGGATAATTTTGAAAACAGTGTAAATGAGAATCTTGTACAACAAGACAGTTTGGTTGATAAGCCAATAAAAGACTTTAAACCTAACAAAAAATATAATAACACAAAGCGGAAGTTGAAGAAACAGAAATCTGCGAACAGTAAGAGCTTACAACAAAATTTGAAGGAAAGTAATTTAGAATTAGAATCATTAAATTTCAAAGCCAATGAGTCTCAATATAGTAACAATATACCTTTAGAAGAAGGTGATAAGTTGATTGGAACAACAAATCCAGTTGTTGAGACTGAAAGTTTATTTGATCCAAATATCAAAATTAAACAAGAGATTGAGTTTACTGAAGAAACATTTGTTGAGGACGATCAATATGAATATGGTTCCGATAATGATCAAGACAACTACGACGAAGATTATAACTGTAATGAGTTTGGCAGGTATTCTAAATCTCCATCACCTATAAAAGAATTACAACCAATTATTATGAACATGGGTATGAATTGCGAGTCATCCAAATTAAATTTAATTAATTTCACTGATTTAAATAATGAAAAGAATGAGGCTTTAGATGTGAGTGCAAATAATACTGCCGAAATAAACAAAAATAGTGAAGAGCATCCGGAGTTCAATCAAAATGATATTGATAATAACAGTAAAGAATCACTTGAATCCGAAAATTTTGGTTTCAAAAAAATAAAGTTGAACATGTTTCCAACCGGGGACCTTCAAACTCCTTTGATTGATAATATAAAAAAAAATTCTGAAAGCGATTTATATAAACAGGTAAATTTAATAGTATGTTAAATTGAAAACCGAAACGTATACATATAATTATAACTAATATTTTAGGAACAATCAACGATGAAGCCACATTTATCACATGAGACCCAATTACATCAAATCGATTTGCCAATTCAAGATATTCATAAAACAAATCCAGTTAGTTACCCCATAAATTTAGAAAGTTCATCCGTTGTTGAATCTTCTCATATAGCGAATACTAACGAAAACATTCTATTATCTGATGAAGTTAATGAACAATTTTCAATAAGACTGCCAAAATTGGAAAACATTAATGAAATAGCAGAAAACCATAACAATGAAAATTTTGAAAAAATGTTACGAAACGAGATTGTTGATAGTGAAAACTGTTGCACCGTAGAAGACAATCAATGTGATACTAATTTAGTTGGAATAACTTTAGCGACAAATACCAATCCACCGGGGGAATTAGATCATGTTAATGCAACTGCAAATGAAGAGATGAATAGCGATAATATAGAAGTTCAAATAAGGAAGCGCGAAGGAGAACTATAAATATATAATATAATACAGTAAGCGTACCCTTATTTAATATTTATCAAATAAGATATTAGGTAATTTTTATTGTTAAATAAGAAAACCGCTTACTAAAAAAAAATTTTTTAAGTGGCAATTAGTTTTTCCCAGTACATAACGAGTTAAATATTTACAAAAAAATTTGTTTTATAATACTTAAATGCATACGTACACGTGTTCAGTATATATGTAAATGAACATACCATCACAACAAACTTGAGAACATCTTGTAGGGCTTTCATTTGATTTCGTTTCAAATGGCGAAATTACGAAATTAAGTAAGCGGAAGTAACTGAGTCCAATAATTCGTTTTTCATTTAAATCCCTAATATTACACAATTTTTAACTGATTTTCTACAGATTAATTATAATATTTTCAAATTGTATTGTTGTGGAATATAAAAACTCTACTATTTTTATTTTTAAATTGAAAATAGCATTGCAATAGATGTTCGAAATTTAGAATAACGCATATTCCAAAATTTTTTTTTGCAATACCTATGTATAAACAAAAACCTAAATGCACGAAAATTTGTAAATTATTAATTTTTTTAAAATCATTAAATGAATCATAAAGGCAATTCAAATAATTTGAAATTGTTTGTTATATTTAATCACACTACTGGCACCATTATTACGAAAAATAAATTAATATTTAATAGAAATTAGAATAATTTATTTTATAATTTAAAAGTTTTTTTTTAATAAAATATATTTGAATACTAGAAATTGTATATATATAAATTTTCTAGCTAAATAAAACAATTGAAATATGTAAAGTAAAAAAATAATAGTATTAATATTTTTTCTTTAATATAAGCAATTTTTATAAAATGTAAAATGTTTGATTACTCATTCGATATAATTTAAATGTCGTTTAGTTTTTAGATTATATAATAAGTTGATAGAAAGAACTTAAAACCACAATAGTTTATAATTTAAATCAGATAAAAAACTAAGTAAAAATTAGTTATAATTTAAGTAAATAGCTTTTAAAGCTTTTTAATATAAACCTATGAAAATAAAAATGTAGTAATAATAACATTATAATTAAAGAATTATGCAAAAAATTTACTTACTTTATATTATTTGTGTTGCGAATATTTTTGATTATTGACATACACCATTTTATTTCAATATTTTATGAATTGGACCATAATATTTCATAATTTTGTAAAAATTGCAATAATTTTAATTGTGGTAAGCCTTTATTGCTGGACTCAATTTTAAGATGTATAAATCACATAGCTCTACACAGTTGCAGTTTTTTGGGGAAGAAATTTAGAGGGTTGAAAAAAAATAAGATTGAAAAAATGTTGACTGAAAAAAATCTATAATGACTTTCAAGCTTATGAAGCTAGAGCAATGAACATTTTTTTTCTCAAACAACCAAACAAGTAACATCAAAGACTGGTATCAGGTCTTTGACAGTCACTGGCTTTTAAAATTTAATTACATAATTTCCAATTCTCTTTATTATAATTATCAATCTTTGCAATCAACATTAAAATGCTTAAGTACATGAAACCTTTGAGCATAACATATAAAAGATGATAAGAAAGAGTTGGGGTCTTTATAAAGATGATTTTGAAGGGTGTTTTAAAAATTTATAAAAAGCAATGTTTTTCATTGATAAATTTAGAAATTAATTTTATGCAGTTAATTAATTATATACATACATATGTATGACAATTTTGTTTTGAAATAAATTTCAATAGATGGATGATCTGAGGTAACAAGTTGAAACGGGAATTCAATTTTAAGTTGAACTTTGGTTTCTATAATCATTGAAGGCAGGTAGATATCTTAAAGTAAAACTTTACTAATTGATATTAGAAGACTAATTGATGTTAGAAGACATAACTAATTTTGATGTTTTTGAGAATAGTAGAAATTTAAGATAAACACTTCAGAATTTTTTAATTGATTAGTCTTTCCAAAATAAAAAGTAAGTTTTACACATGTATATACATATGTATGTACATATTCAAATATACTAGTTCAAATGTTTTACATGCATATCATTTGAATAGTGGAAACTTTGCATGTTTTATAACAAATAACTAGAATTTAAATGGATGTGGATAAATAAATTTACAAGACATATATTTACAAACATACATGGTATAGCTTCATATAAAAAGCTAGATTGTAATCAATAAATCGTAGTAATGCAATCTGAAAATACATAACAACGAAGTATTGAGGAAATAAATAAAAGGAACAAAGTAAGTACAAAATGTATGTATGTGTATGTAGCCTTTCAATATCTCCCTTCAGTATTTTACACAAATAATACAGAATTTTAAATCAAGAAAAATGAAATTTTATGTAGCCTCTAAGCTACATAGTTTCAGTGTTGCCAATTTAATTGAAATTTTAATGTCACATTTTTAATCAAAAAGCAAAGAAGTGAATTTATATTTTTTATAGATATTTTTGAAATTTAATTTATATTGGATTTAGCTACAAACAAAGATACTGATACTATTAATTTAAAAAAATTTACTAAAACTATTAATTGTCCCATCCTGATAAGGATAAGGTTGTTTTCTATTGCAATCTCTTTCATTAGTTTCTTTCTCATTGGTTAGTTACTTCTCTTTCATTAGTTAAAAATTTTTATCAGAACCAAAATCAAGGAAGCTATGGATGGATCGAAATTGTCCGGTGAAATGTCATTTGGACAAACTGCAAAAATTGGACTACGTCTTTTGTGTAGATTCTGCCGAGATGATAAGAAGACGGCCATAAATGTCTCTGTGTGATAAGGAAATTGGTTAATTATTTATCTTTATATACGCAAAAATGTAAAATTGGGCAGCAAAAACGTACGGATCCCGAGGATTATCCCAAAAGTTGATCAATCCGTGACATAGCCAAAATAAACTCACATATAAAATTACATCAAAATCGGTTTAGCCGAAATTAAGATACATCCGTGCACACACAGACTATTTCTCTAAAACTAAAACTATTTACGCTACCCTATACTCCGGAGAAGTGTGTTTCCACAAGAAACTCCACATCTAAAATTTGTTGCCATCACATGACTTACTTTGTTGTATAAAATGCGGTTGGTTTAAATAAAACTTATTTTCCTCATATCTAATTTTATTTAATTGTATTGAAAGATAAAGAGTAAGTTATGGCAATACTATTCAAAAGAACTACATAATAGAAAAGGACATATACATCCTTGTAGCTTTCTTGATAAAATATAAAAAGTTTTAAATTTTACAAACAGACATACACGCATACACCTAAATGAGCATGGATTTTTCATATTTTACTTTTACTTGTTATTTTTTTCTTCTTTATGTTTAAATTAATTTTTGACTGAAGCGAAGTTTATAGTCAGTGTGTATGCGAACGGGAACATAAAAGCTTGCAATTTTCAATTGTTCAATTCAGGGTATTTTTGTAGAATTAAGTGAAAAATTTTCTGAAGTACTTTTGCTTTTTGTTATTTTTTTCTTACCACATAGATTATGTTTTTCTACTTTGATTATCTTGTGAAAAATCATGAAAGAAAAAAAAATATGAAAAAACAATTTTTTTAACTTTAATACAAAATTTATTCAGTTTAAAAAATATTATTAAAAATTAGAAAAGTTAAAATAAAAAAAAAGAAAAAGAAACAAAAGCCAGTGAAGTTATAATGCAAATTTTCTTCATTTATACACCATAAAAGAAAATAAATCGAAATACAATAATATTTATGCAAAGTAATTAATTTCTCATTTATATTTAAAAAGTTAAGTAACATACAAAAATTTCCTTTATGATTAAAACAATTCTTAAATAAATTTCAAAAAAAATTAATTTTCCATTTAATATAAATGTGATGTATGCGTATGTGTATGTGTAATTTTTTTTCCTTTTGCAACGGATATAATATTATATACTTATTATTATCCTTAATGATATTCATGTCGACATTATATAATGATTGTCGTGTTAGTGCACCTTAGCTCATTTGTGTGCGAGAATGTTCATAAAAGTTAAATTAAATTTCAATATAAAATATGTATGTACAATTTATACTGTGGTACTGACAATTGACATTTAGTACATAATATAAATCTAATATCTGCAGGCATATATATATATTCTAATATAGGATATAGTGATGCAAGTGAAACTATGTATATACAGTATAAATACATTTTAGCGAAAAAAAAAACATCTTCCTATATAAAGTCTAATTTTTTCTTTATATCTTTTACCAAGAATTGCAAGATAGAAAAGAAACTTTTATATTTTGTGTAATTTTAATTTTAAACTACCACGTATTACGTGAACGAAAATCGTAAATATATTTTGTTTTATTAATGTGTACCTAGGTATATTGTTTATATGAAATACATAATACATATATATGACTCTAATATAATTTTGTATACATTTAATTTACAATAATTGAAATTTTTTTAATAAATTGAATTAAATCATCTGATGTAGCTATATGTAAGGTATAATATGATATTCAGTGATTCGCTTTTCTTATATTATTTGTATAACAATAGTATACATACTTGTATATTGTAATATTTATGTGTATTTGGCATTAAAATTACACAGTGAAAATAAATTATTATTATTATTATTTATATTAAAATTTAAATATTATAAAAAAATAAATAAATAATTCAAAATTACAAAATAATAAATTAAAAATAATATATCAATAATAAATTAAAATTACAAAATAAAATAATTTAATTAAAATTAATGTTATATAAGTAAATTGTAAATTCTAAATTTTAAAAAAATATTTTCCTATCAGCAAAAAAAAAATATACATAAAAACATAATTTTGATTTTAATTTAATTTAATAATTATAACAATAAATTCTATAAGTAAATAATATTATATTTTGATTGCAAATTTGAAATATGTATGTATGTCGGAATATTTGTATTTTTTTAATAATGTAAACCTACATATGTATAAATGAAGACGTACATACCATAAGTATTCACTATATATAGTTACGCTATATGTATCTAACGTATTTCAGTACCCGTAACTAAATAACTCAATAAAATGATCATACCTAGTCATCGTTAAAAAAAAGGAGCCGTAGCGGCCATCATATTACGTATAATGTACAATTAAAATATAGGCCAGGTTATTCAGAAAAAAAAACATGTACATGTATACATATAATTATATAATAATATTTAAGGAAGAAAATGTATGGCACGTAGGCACATGGGAATCATGCGGTACATGTATATTATAGTATTATAGAGAGTTTATTATATGTGTCACGTGTGCATTATAAAATTTTATATTTAATTTCTGGTGATAAATCAATTCTTTCTTAAATCATTAATTTAATTAAATTAAGTATATGCAATTTGATATATATACATAATTTTATTTTGAAATAACTTTATATTTTATACTTTATGTTTATGTAGATTTTTAAAATATAATCAATTTACTAAGTTCATTATTTGAAATTTTATTTTTTATAAAAATAAATTTCTTCTACATATACAGAAAACAGTTCTAAAGTTTTTTTTTGTTATTAGCACATTACTCTTTCTATCCTTGTTATCATTATTTTACAAAAGTTGTACCCTCTCCAAG